GTAGCTTAGGACTACAGTGCCCGGCCACCAGCACACAGACTCATTTTTTTGTATGTTAATTTAGCTAAGAGATGGAGAGTATCTCACCATTGATCTCGCCAGGGATTGGTCATCCAATCTCCTGACATTCCCAGTAGCTGGTATTGCAGGCATGCGCCACCACACCCAGCTAATTTTTGTATTTTTAGTAGAGACAGGGTTTCACCATGTTGGCCAGGCTAGTCTCAAACTCCTGACCTTGTGATCTGCCTGCCTCAGCCTCCCAAAGTGCTGGGATTACAGGCGTGAGCTGCTGCACCTGGCCCAGGTAAAACATTTCAAACATTGCTCAATAAATGTTGCCTGATTCTCCCAAGCAGTCTTCAGCCCTCACATATCTTCCACTCTCTCCCTTATTTATGATTCTCAGCTTCAGCCAAAAGGGCCAGTTGGTTTCTTAGCCATGCTATGTGCATATTTGAATTTTTGCCTTCCAGAAAGAGCATCCATTCCTCTCTGCTTGTTTGACTCCTGCCCTTAAAGTTAGTCAAGTCCAGCTTTTCTCCTAGAGGTTATTCCCACTTTTAGGTTATGTCCCCACTTCTGTTCATGCTGTCTGTCTGGCACATAATTCAGCTTTTGGCACAAGTGGTGCTCAGTGCTTGGTGTGGTGATATTGATAATTGAGGCTGGGGGGCCAAGACGGGAAGTTCTTGGGACATTTGGGCTCCTGGGTATTGTCTCAAGGGTCTCTTTTCCCAACAGAGGTCCCCCCTGTTGGAAGTAAAGGGGAACATAGAACTGAAGAGACCTCGGATTAAGGCCCCTTCCCGGCTGCCTCTCTCAGGAAGCAGACTCAAGAGGAGGCCTGACCAGATGGAAGATGGCCTGGAGCCTGAGAAGGTGAGCTGGGCGTGGAGAGCTATGCATGTGTGTGTGGGGTATGTGGGGGTGTGTGTGTGTATGTGTGTGTATGTGTGTGTGAAAGAAAGGAGAGAGAGAGTATAAACCATTTGGGAGGGTGACTGTGGACCTTGTCTTTATCTTTCCCCAGAAACGGACAAGAGGCCTGGGTGCAACGACCAAAATTACCACATCCCACCCAAGAGTTCCATCCCTCACTACAGTGCCACAGACACAAGGCCAGACCACAGGTGGGCTCTCAGGATGGATAGCCTCCAAGGACACGGAAGTCCAGTGCTCTTCAACTCACTTGTTTCTTTTCTTTCAATTTTATTCTATTTTGGTTTTTTTCTGTTTTTTTTTTTTTTTTGAGACAGAGTCTTGCTCTGTCGCCCAGGCTGGAGTGCAGTGGCGCGACCTCTGCTCACTGCAACCTCCTCCTCCCAGGTTCAAGCGATTCTCCTACCTCAGCCTCCGGAGTAGCTGGGATTACAGGTGCCCACCACCATGCCCAGCTAATTTTTGTATTTTTAGTAGAGACAGGGTTCCACCATGTTGGCCAGGCTGGTCTTGAACTCCTGGCCTCAGGTGAGGCACCACGCCCAACCTGTCTGTTTTGAATAGGTAATAACATTTCATTTGGTTCAAAATTCCAAAGGCACAAAGGTTGTTGTATAGTAAAATTTGCTTCCTGTTTCTGTCCTCCAACCACCCAGTTCTGCTACCCAGGGCAACTGTATGTTCTTCCAGAAAAATTCTATTGGTATTCAAGCAAGTAAGACTATACTCCCCCACCTTTTTTACGCAAATGGTGGCATACTTTAGACATGGTTCTGCTTTTACTTATCTTGATCCAACTTGCTTTTTGGCCTATGGAGTACAGTTGGCCCTCTGTATCCGTGGGTTCTGCTTCTGCAGATTCAACCAACCATCGGTTGAAAATATTCAAGGAGAGTAGGCACAGTGGCTCACGCCTATAATCAATCCCAGCACTTTGTGAGGCCAAGGTGGGTGGATTACCTGAAGTCCGGAGTTCCAGACCAGCCTGGCCAACATGGTGGAACCCTGTCTCTACTAAAAATACAAAATTAGCCGGACATGATGTCCCGCACCTGTAATCCAGCTACTCTGGAGGCTGAGGCAGGAGAATTGCTTAGAACCCGGGAGGTGGAGGTTGCAGTGAGCTGAGATTGCGCCAGCCTGGCGACAGAGCGAGACTCGGTCTCAAAAAAAAAAAAAAAATTCATGGAAAATAAAAAAAAACCAAAAAATACAATATAACAATTATGGTCATGTGTCACTTGGCAATGCAGATACATTATCAGAAATGCATTACTGTGGAAACATCATAGAATGTACTTACTGAAACCTAGATGATCTAGCCTGCTACACACCTAGGCTGTCTGGGATAGCCTATTGCTCCTGGGCAACAAGCCTGTGTGGCGTGTTACTATACTGAAGCACTGTAGGTACCTATAACCCAGTGGTAACCATTTGTGTATATAAACATACCTAAACATAGAAAAGGTACATTTAAAATAACAATATAAATGATAAAAAAAAAGGGTACACCTGTACAGGGTACAAACCATTAAATGGAGCATGGTTGAATGGAAGTTGCTCTGCATGAGTCAGTGAGTGAGTGGTGAGTGAATGTGAAGGCCTAGGGCCTTACTCTTCACTGCTGTAGCCCACCACCATGCCCAGCTAATTTTTGTATTTTTAGTAGAGACGGGGTTTCACCATGTTGGCCAGGCTGGTCTTGAACTCCTGGCCTCAGGTGAGGCACCACGCCCAACCTGTCTGTTTTGAATAGGTAATAACATTTCATTTGGTTCAAAATTCCAAAGGCACAAAGGTTGTTGTATAGTAAAATTTGCTTCCTGTTTCTGTCCTCCAACCACCCAGTTCTGCTACCCAGGGCAACTGTATGTTCTTCCAGAAAAATTCTATTGGTATTCAAGCAAGTAAGACTATACTCCCCCACCTTTTTTACGCAAATGGTGGCATACTTTAGACATGGTTCTGCTTTTACTTATCTTGATCCAACTTGCTTTTTGGCCTATGGAGTACAGTTGGCCCTCTGTATCCGTGGGTTCTGCTTCTGCAGATTCAACCAACCATCGGTTGAAAATATTCAAGGAGAGTAGGCACAGTGGCTCACGCCTATAATCAATCCCAGCACTTTGTGAGGCCAAGGTGGGTGGATTACCTGAAGTCCGGAGTTCCAGACCAGCCTGGCCAACATGGTGGAACCCTGTCTCTACTAAAAATACAAAATTAGCCGGACATGATGTCCCGCACCTGTAATCCAGCTACTCT